ATATATATATATATATATATATATATATATATTAACAATTAATTGTCATTCCAATTATCGATGTTGTGCTAATTATATTCAATTAAATTAGGTAAAACTAAGTGTACTACATCTTCAAATTAATCTCAATCCTAAATTTTAAATTAAAATTTAGGTAAACTTAAATTTTATGACATTAATTTTAAAAATTAAATATAATTTGAATCCTAAATTTCAAATCGAAAAGTGTGTTATGAAATACAAAACTAGTTTGAGTGTTTTGACAAGCTAATTAAGTATAGTGACTCTCCATGAAGTATGAACTGATACATGGAACCAGACAAAGCATTACACAGTCAAAGGTAGAGGAATTGAACATTGAAATTAATAATAGAAATGTTGTGATGATGATTATTGAGAGGAGCTTGCAATATACAAGAAGAAACCTCCACGACTTCACTACTATCAACAAGATTCGAAACACAAAGACGAACATAGGATTCCATTATATATATATAAGTGCAACAAATTTTATATTCAGATTATAGAAAAGAAATAGAATGTGTAGTGTAGATATGCATCCAATTGCAGTATGGAGGAACATTCCTAAATCCTACGCGACATGCCTCATTATTAGTCCCAATCCCATCCATTAATTCTTCAATCTTTCACTCGATCTATCTACCTAGCTAATAGCCTAATAAAACCAAATGCATATATTCTATGTTAGTAGCATATGAATTTTTTACGTAAATAAAGAAAAACTATATACCCACTTCCATATCTTATGTTTGATTCATAGGGGGAAACAGTACGTTAAAGAAAGCCCACCAATTCCATGGCCATGGCCATGGCCACATAAAGAGAACCTAAAATTTGAGTGAGAGAAGAGATTTATTTTGGGGCGTCGTTTTCCCAAATTTAAAGTTTGGAAGAGGGTTTTATCTTTTATGTGCGTCTTCAGTCTCCGTAAAAGATTTTAGAAAAGTCGAAAAGATTTTCATGTCTGCTCTGGGAGGGACCTATGTCGATATTATAACACCACTGTCTCATGCATCTTTCGTACCATTCGACTCCAACTATATTATTATTATATAATATGGAGTTGAATTTGACCGCAAAATAAGTAAAATTAAAGAGGACTATTGTTTATCACATGTCACCTTCTTTCACATTTCTTCACCCCCAGTTTTAGGAAATTAAAATGATAAAGGTATGCACTGCTCCATATGCAACAAGAGTAAAATATATTCTCCCAACTAACGAGGATTGGGTTTTTCGGAAGCAACTAGTTTAATTTCTTATAACATGATCAACCATGATTTTAATATCTTTCCCAGATCAGTTACCCACATTTACTGCTCGATAGTGCCTTCAACAGGATACTCACATTCTTTTTAACAAACTAAACTACTCTCCCTAGCTCCATAAATTCTCCAAATTAATATACTCTCTAGTATTCACTGAAATCCATATAAAATATTACACCAAACATCCCGTATATATATATATATATATATGATCAATACTTACAAGAGAGTGTAATAGTTTTTTAATTTATTATTTTATCTATTTAAATCACATGTATCTTCTACACCAAAAACAGACTTTAATTAAGAAAGTTTAACATGCTCAAATTAAAATAAATTATTTAATTTTATTTTATATATTTAATTATTAATTTAATTCAATTATTTTGGCCCTTTATACTTTTAGTTTATTTATAAGAAAATTTTGTATATAAGATAAATTAAGTCATATTATTTTATATAAAATGAATAAATTATTAGGGTTGAAAACATCTAAATATTATTAGATATTTTTAAAGAAAGCACGTACTTAAATAAAAATATACATAATTAATTTTTTTAAATATCACTTTCTCCCTGGCTTTTTATAAGGACTTCTTGTTACAAAAAATAGTTTTTTATTATTATTAAATTTAAGTTAAAATATACATAGATCAAAATTAATAAAAATTTTGGGTTTGAAGCTCTTGATTTTTCATTTAAAAACATTACTAGTTACAATATTGTTCCGGTATTGGAGATCACCGCCGAAGAACCCTTAGCGATACCGAGCTAAAAGAACTTGACAACAATCTTGACCTAGAACATTTGATAAGAGTAACCCCTTCTCTTAGACCTAATCATTGCTATATATAATGGTGTAGCGTTACAGACATGAATCGCACACTCCTCTTTATGATCCCATAAATCACGCCTCATTATGGACTCGTAACTCCCGGTATTTATTATTGTTCCCACGGATTGTGGGATCTTATTGATTGTCTGAGTGAGCCAGTGAATCTTCTCATATTTGGGTCCCTATTATGGGCTCGTCATTTTGCCGATGTGCCTCGGGTCGGCCAATGGGAGACCACCACGGTACATAGCCCTCCATGCTCGAGCACTAAGGTGCGAAGAGCATATTAGATCAATATTTTGCCGACCTACTTCGGGTCGGCTCATGGGAGATCACCACGGTACATAGCCCTCCATGCTCGAGCACTAAGGTGCAAAGAGTATGTTGGATCAACATTTTGCCGACTTACTTTGGTCGATCTGTGGAAGACCATCATGGTACATAACTCTCTATGCTCGAGCACTAAGGTGCGAAGAGCATGTCAGATCAATATTTTGCCGACCTACTTCGGGTTGGCTCATGGGAGACCACCACGGTACATAGCCTTCCGTGCTCGAGCACTAAGGTGCGAAGAGCATGTCAGATAGGCATTTTGTTGACCTACTTTGGGTCGCAACTTGGGGCGCACCGTTTGACTTGATTTATGTTGATCGTCTAAATTCCGACCTTAAAGTGCTCTTCACACTAAGGTTTGGGTCTTCTAAATTCTAACCTTAAGGTGCTCTTCACACCAAGGTCTTGATCGTCTAAATTCCGACCTTAAAGTGCTCTTCGCACCGAGGTTTGGATCGTCGAAATGCCGACCTTAAAGTGCTCTTTGCACCAAGGTCTTGATCGTCTGAATTCTGACCTTAAAGTGCTCTTCACACTAAGGTTTGGGTCTTCTAAATTATAACCTTAAGGTGCTCTTCACATCAAGGTTTGGATCGTCTAAATTCTGACCTTAAAGTGCTCTTCACACTAAGGTTTTCAGATCAATATTTTGCCGACCTAATTGGATCGTCTAAATTCTTTTGGGTCTTCTAAATTATAACCTTAAGGTGCTCTTCACATCAAGGTTTGGATCGTCAAAATGCCGACCTTAAAGTGCTCTTCGCACTAAGGTTTGGGTCGTCTAAATTCTAACCTTAAGGTGCTCTTCACACCAAGGTTTTGATCGTCTAAATGCCGACCGACCTTAAGGTGTTCTTCACACCAAGGTTTGGATCGTCAAAATGCCGACTTTAAAGTATTCTTTGCACCAAAATTATAACCTTAAGGTGCTCTTCACATCAAGGTTCTTCTTCTAACCGTTTGGGTCGTCTAAATTCTAACCTTAAGGTGCTCTTCACACCAAGGTTTTGATCGTCTAAATGCCGACCGACCTTAAGGTGTTCTTCACACCAAGGTTTGGATCGTCAAAATGCCGACCTTAAAGTGCTCTTTGCGCCAAGGTGTTGATCGTCTAAATTCCGACCTTAAAGTACTCTTCACACCAAGGTCTTGATCGTCTAAATTCAGACCTTAAAGTGCTCTTCGCACCAAGGTTTGGGTCTTCTAAATTCTAACCTTAAGGTGCTCTTCACACCAAGGTCTTGATCGTCTAAATGCCGACCTTAAGGTGCTCTTCACACCAAGGTTTGGATCGTCAAAATGCCGACTTTAAAGTGTTCTTTGCACACCAAGGTCTTGATCGTCTGAATTTCGACCTTAAAGTGCTCTTCACACTAAGGTTTGGGTCTTCTAAATTCTAACCTTAAGGTGCTCTTCACTCCAAGGTTTGGATCGTCAAAATGCCGACCTTAAAGTGCTCTTTGCACCAAGGTCTTGATCGTCTAAATTCCGACCTTAAAGTGCTCTTCACACCGAGGTCTTGATCGTCTAAATTCCGACCTTAAAGTGCTCTTCGCACCAAGGTTTGGATCGTCAAAATGCCGACCTTAAAGTGCTCCTCACACTAAGGTTTGGGTTGTCTAAATTCTGACCTTAAAGTGCTCTTCGCACCAAGGTTTGGATCGTCAAAATGCCGACCTTAAAGTGCTCCTCACACTAAGGGTTGGGTTGTCTAAATTCTGACCTTAAAGTGCTCTTCGCACCAAGGTTTGGATCGTCAAAATGCCAACCTTAAAGTGCTCTTTGCACCAAGGTTTGAGTCGTCTAAATTCTGACCTTAAAGTGCTCTTCGCACCAAGGTTTGGATCGTCAAAATGCCGACCTTAAAGTGCTCTTTGCACCAAGGTCTCGATCGTCAAAATGCCGACCTTAAAGTGCTCTTCACACCAAGGTATTGATCGTCTAAATTCCGACCTTAAAGTGTTCTTCACTAAGGTTTGGGTTGTATAAATTCCGACCTTAAGGTGCTCTTCGCACCAAGGTTTGGATCGTCAAAATGCCGACCTTAAAGTGCTCTTCACACCAAGGTTTGGATCGTCTAAATTCCGACCTTAAAGTGCTCTTCACACCAAGGTCTTGATCGTCTAAATTCCGACCTTAAAGTGCTCTTCACACCAAGGTTTGGGTCTTCTAAATTCTAACCTTAAGGTGCTCTTCACACCAAGGTTTGGATCGTCTAAATGTCGATCTTAAAGTGCTCTTCGCTCCAAGGTTTGAATAGTCAAAATGCCGACCTTAAAGTGCTCGTTGCACCAAGGTCTTGATCGTCAAAATGCCGACCTTAAAGTGCTCTTCACACCAAGGTCTTGATCGTCTAAATTCCGACCTTAAAGTGCTCTTCACACTAAGGTTTGGGTCTTCTAAATTCTAACCTTAAGGTGCTCTTCACACCAAGGTTTGGATCGTCTAAATTCCGACCTTAAAGTGCTCTTCACACTAAGGTTTGGGTCTTCTAAATTCTAACCTTAAGGTGCTCTTCTCACCAAGGTTTGGATCTTCTAAATTCCGACCTTAAAGTGCTCTTCGCACCAAGGTTTGATCGTCTAAATCCCGACCTTAAAGTGCTCTTCACACTAAGGTTTGAGTCTTCTAAATTCTAATCTTAAGGTGCTCTTCACACTAAGGTTTGGATCGTCTAAATTCCGACCTTAAAGTGCTCTTCACACTAAGGTCTTGATCGTCAAAATGCCGACCTTAAAGTGCTCTTCACACCAAGGTCTTGATCGTCTAAATTCCGACCTTAAAGTGTTCTTCACACTAAGGTTTGGGTTGTATAAATTCTGACCTTAAGGTGCTCTTCGCACCAAGGTTTGGATCGTCAAAATTTTCGACCTTAAAGTGCTCTTTACACCAAGGTCTTGATCGTCTAAATTCCGACCTTAAAGTGCTCTTTGCACCAAGGTTTGGATCGTTAAAATGCCGACCTTAAAGTGCTCTTCACACCAAGGTTCATAGTACAATTTTAATTTACTCTTTAGATTTGGCAATCTCAACCAGTCAAAGTCATCTCTGAGATGATTGAACTTGTGTATAAAAAACAAGAAAGTCAAAGCTAGAAGACGAGCCTACAATCGAAATTTAATCGAATTAACATAACGAAGTAGTTGACGAAACAATTCATCACAGCTAAAAATTCATCGAAAACAAATGGCGAATCGGAGATTTGGGACATGAACATGAAATAGAAGCAGATATAGATATATGAATAGTAGCAGGAAGCATGTTAGGGTTGAAGAGAACAAACACAGTGGCTAGGGAGCGGGAGTTGGAGGCAGAGGAGCAGCGGAAGCATCGGCGGGAATAACGAGCGTCCAATCGGGAGGAAGAGGAGGCAGAGGATCGTACACCGTAGGTTTCCGATTTATATCCCACGGCTGCGTCTTCCATGGCCGCGTCTTCCTGTGATGCGCCGTCGCTTTCTTCTGAGGCCGAGACGAACACACTATCGTCAATCCTCCACCGCTTCTCTTCCCAATCCCCAATGCTTGCGGCGGAGCCCTCACCACCCCGCACCCGAACATGTTCATCACCGACGACATTTTCCTTCTCTGCTTCGCGCTTCTTCGTTCTCTCGTTGCAAGGTTTCTATTGCGGCCAAGATTTCTTCTAGAGTGTGGCCGCCGGCGGCGGGAATGGGATTTTCAATTCCGCCGACGCCCCCAGTTATGGCACCATTGATGTCGTCGTTACTAGTTCCTGTCGCATTGCTTCTCAGAATCCTCGTCATTGCGACCTTCTGCTCACGTCAAACAACAAAGGTGTGGGATGCAGTTTTACCTGCCCCACGGTGGGCGCCAAAATGTTCCGGTATTGGAGATCACCGCCGAAGAACCCTTAGCGATACCGAGCTAAAAGAACTTGACAACAATCTTGACCTAGAACATTTGATAAGAGTAACCCCCTTCTCTTAGACCTAATCATTGCTATATATAATGGTGTAGCGTTACAGACATGAATCGCACACTCCTCTTTATGATCCCATAAATCACGCTTCATTATGGACTCGTAACTCCCGGTATTTATTATTGTTCCCACGGATTGTTGGATCTTATTGATTGTCTGAGTGAGCCAGTGAATCTTCTCATATTTGGGTCCCTATTATGGGCTCGTCATTTTTCCGATGTGCCTCGGGTCGGCCAATGGGAGACCACCACGGTACATAGCCCTCCATGTTCGAGCACTAAGTTGCGAGGAGCATATTAGATCAATATTTTACCGACCTACTTCGGGTCGGCTCATGGAAGATCAGCACGGTACAAATATATATATATATATATATATGTATGTATATATTAATTAGATACAAAATTACCTTCTACGAGAATTAACAAAATGATACTCTTTTTCCGTTACCCAAATTGTAGCCAAAGACTAATCTTCGAGCAGTGATAAATTCAGCTGCCAGTTGAAAAAAAAATCATATTATTGACTTTTTTTTTAATATAAGTAGTGTCTAGTAAAATTAATATTTCTTTTAAAAATTTTCCTTGTTAATTATAAATATTAAAAGAAATAATATAATTAAAAAATCATACATTAATGAAATAATATTTTAGGAAAAATATAATTTAATAATATACTTTCTCTATTCCATAATGATCACAATTTTAATATTTAAAAAATATCTTAAAATGAATGATATTTTCTATTTTTAATGTAATATTAATTATTATTTTTAATTAATTTATCACTTCATAAATTATTCAACCACAACGATTTAAAGTAATGTATTTATTGAGTAGGTAGATTATTTTGATAAAATTAAATAAAAAATGATATATTTTTTATTATTCTTAAATTTAATCTTTATATAAAAATCTTAAAATGAATTCATTGTGAAATTGAAGAAGTATCTATTCATTTGACAATAAAATAAGAGAATAATACGTTAAAAAAATAGTTTCTAAATTAATAAGGCTAACAAAATTCAAGTTAATCAATCAAGATAAAAAAAAAAAAAAATCATGTGTCAAAAATTTTGGCAATTTATGAGAAAAGATAATGTATAAAAGTAATGAAGTAGAGTGATGATTTTATTAGTAATGTTAAGATTGACCGAGACTATATATCGATTACGTGGCGGCGATGCAATAATTTCCCTTTGCTTTATGAAACTGAAACCCATCCCTTTCGGAAAGGTACGTACATGAAATATATGAAGCAGGTCTCATCATTTGCCTGGCATCCATAAGCTTCTTGCTGGCTTGAGAGTTCAGTTATATATTCTCTTTCCAAAGTTTAACAAAAGGAATCTCAACCTAATCCATCTCATGTTAAAATCCAAACAATAATTCACGAAATTAACAAGTTTATCTTGTTTTTCTTATGACATGAAAATGTAGGTGCAAGTGGTTGCCATCATTAATAATTGTCTTTTATAATAAAGAAATATAGACCATAGATGATTGCTTATTCTATTCAAAGTGGAATTAATTCAGTAGATTAAAGCCTGTTAAACAATGATAAAATGTGTGGATAAATTAAGCAAAGAAGTTGACGCAATCGGTATGTGCTGCCATGTACTTACCAAACAATAATAAGAAGGAAAAATAAACTTTGTCCTTAAGAATATCGCTATAGATCCGTGCATATCCACAAAAAAAACCAGCAAGATATAGGAATAGTTGGTATTATGTCATTGTATATCCTATGAACACTTAACTGTCTTGTCACCCTCTATTTAACTCATTTGAACTTCACATGCATGGGGAAGACATTTCTACTATAGCAATTGGCAAAGCTTGTTTTCATGCTTGAGAATCATTGCTGAATTCTACAGAGACAAATCCGTCGAATGCTCACCATGTCCCATGACAGTGTGCTAAACACAGCTAATTAATTAGGCATACCAACCTGCAAGAATAAGCAAAAACGCCTACTTAATTATTATGTGAATCTCGTTATGATTCTGGTTAATTTAGATATTGATAGCTGAGAATACACATGTGTCTTGGGAGGGCACGATTAAGTTTTGCATGGAATTAAATTTGCATTTGTGGAAGATAAACGTTTTTTCAGAATATTTAATATATAGTTCTATACTTAACACTCAAATTAAAGACTATCTATTGATTACGCTATATAAACTTCGTGTTAATTGATCTATACCATTATACCGGTTGTCTTTAGTAGGATTCTTATTTAAATATTTTTTTTATTCACAATACTCCAATAAAAAACTTTTTAAAAGTAAATTGAGCTCAATTTCACTTGAACCAATTATTTGTTGGAATATAAAGAATCACTTAAACTCCTCTTTTTCACTGTTATTTGCCTCTTGTGCATATTCACTAGCGCATAGAATAACAAATTAATAACTTGACATTAACAGCTTTCGGAGATGTCATATATAAAATTGTAATATATGCTTAGCTTCAAAATAATTGCTACAATATACTACGCAGTATGGGAGTAGCTATATTGTATATATGTCTACCACTCTAGCCTTTACACGAACTTGTTGAGTGCATAGTTATTTATTTTGCTAACAGTTTCTTACGAGATAAAACATTGTGGATGAGGTCGAATGTTGCAAATAGAGAGTATCATCATCATCATCACCATATTTCTAAATTCAACCTTAATCAATTATTCCACTGGCCACTTTCCAGCACGAAAGCTATGAAATGAAGGCAAAGAAAGGGGATTAATTCCTCCCCTCTTAGTCCGGATTAAAGAAAAAGAAAGAAACGAAAACAGAAAGAGAATAAATAAGGCAAATGATTGGGTTGATAAAGTGTTAAACCACTTTGACATGCGTTTACAAGTGGGTGGATTATATTACCCACGACTAATTAATTAGCAAATCATATTAGGACAACAAAGATAGACAGGTGGACGAAGATTCTCACAATGAACCGTCACCTTTTGCTACCACATTTTGTTTCAGCATTAGGTGAGATGATATGGAAACGTGCACACAGAAAACTAGTTAATTAGTCAATCTTAATTTTGGTGTAATTATGCATGCTGCTTGGATGCATTTTTAAATTTGGGTTGTGCCCGACATATGGAAGTGAGTGTCAATTAAAATAATCATTTATAGAAAGACAATGTGGGCGATTTGCGCAGCAGTGTCACAGATTAACCCAGGATGAACTCGAACTCTGTAATTTTATATTTTTATTTTGGTTTATGAGCTTCATATGTCTTATTAGGAATTTGGAGCCTTGAGCGAAAAATGAGCGTGCACAATATTTGTTATTTCTTGGTTAATCTATGTTCTTGTATCTTTTGCTGTTAGTTACTCGTTTTACTACATAAAAGCGAAGTAGTTAGCTTAGGTGCACGTTCCTGTTTGTATATATCAAGATTAAAAATTTAAGCAAAAAAAATATTTGAATAAAATAAGTAATCTTACGAGGAAACCAAACCTGTATTGTTATTATGCATGGTATTATAAATTTATAACTACATTCAGGAAATGAAACGATCGACACGGAGTAACGTTAGTCCAATATTATTTTTAACTTAATACAAAGAGTTCAAAACACAGCTAGCAGTAGCAGTAAGAAGATATACATGTATAGCTGTAAATAAGTAAATAAATAAATTCAGTTATGCCCACATCCTTAATTCAACATCAGTGGGTAGTATTAAATTTAATGATGAATCAGTGTATGGCTAACTAGGTATGAGGTGGATGGTGAGCAACAATGCAAGTTGTGTTAATAAAGGGTCCCTTTCTTTGATTTGTACTATTTTGATTTTGAATGTCCCTCCTTCTTGTCCTCAACCATATATTATATACCGTTCGTTGTTTGTTATAGTGTTGAGAAGAAGAAATATAAGGTATGGACATATAGTTACATACACATAGTATGAGGCGTATAAATTGACTTGGTTTGGATTTAGTGCAAGCGTGCGGTGAGAGTGGTACGTAAAAAATGAAGTGAGCAGAGACGCGCACTTTCTTTCTCTCTCTCTATCTCTAAAAAGAAAAAAAGACAGCGAAGTTTGAAAGTTGTAAGGCAAAGACTTTACACAAAAAGTGAGCAAAAGCCCTGAAGCCTGAAGCCATAAAATGGAGTGGGTCACGCGTCACTCCTCCCAAGGAGAGACAAGCCCTGTGTATTTTTTGTTTTAACAGTGGAGAAACATAGATATAGAAGTGTGGTACAGTTGAGAATTGTCAAAGTGTGCAGAATTTCAATTTACCAAGGCTTCTGCTTCTGCATAAAAAAGACCAACTGGGGCATGTGTTTTTTGAAATTTAAATTAAAGGTGAAGTAAGTGGAAATAGAAAAGGACCAGACGGGCTTAATTGCAGGATCCGTAGTACACTCCCAAAAGTTAACGATTCCTGGTCTAGCCATCATTTAACGTAGAACCTAATGAAAAGATTATCATATCAAATGTCGAAATAATATTACTATATAACAAAGAAAAAAATTAAAAAGGTTGGACCGAGAAGGTCAAGATCCGCTTCTTCGCTGTGTGGAAGTGACACAAAAATAAGGGAAACATCTTGCTCAAACCTTTTTGTCGTTTTCCTTCTCTCGTCTCTCCATATCTCATGTTACCACACTTATTAATTATTGCTTATGCTTTCCTAGGTTAAAAAGGTGTAAAAATAGCTTCAATTAATATAGCGGTTTAACGAGCATAATCCATTCAAATGAATTGAATTAGATTGTATTTTTCAATTTGGATCATGTCAACAAGTGTGTCAAGTCACTCATTAAACAATCAATAAATTGTAAGTTTTTAATTTAAAATTTTAATAAGATTACATAAATAAATATACAAATACATTTTACCACAAGGACATATACATGTGATCTTTGTATTTTTTATATTATGATAACTTTTTGATTATTATAATAAATTATCCTAAAAATTATATCTATCACGTTTTTTAATTAATTAATCATATATTTTTTAAATAATAATAATATATTAAATAGATCTCAATTTATCTTATCAAAGACATCTCAAATCTTATTATGGGATTGGAATGTTATTTTATCACTTTTAAGATACATATCCAAATTCTGGTTGACACGTTAAGTGCATGTTTGGATTTCATTTTGAAACGTGGATCATACATTTTCTCTCCACGTCGAATGTTAATTTTACGTGAAAGCAAATTTTTTTTCGCTAAACGTAAAAATTCACGTTACAATTGGAACACAAACATGTACTAAATAAGTGTCATTCCTATACTAAGTAGTTCTTGAGATGTCAACCCCCTGACTTCATAATTAAGGATAATCAATAATAATGTCTGACTGTTATATAACAATAAAATGTCTTGGATATATATTTTTTTAAATTTTTTTTAACTAACAGTAACATTTTATCTTTTATTTATACTCCAACATTTTATCTTTAAAAGGTACGTTCATTTCTTGAGATTACATATATGCATTTTGAACACTTATTGACATAAGTATTATAGTCTTTTTTGCAAGTACCACCACCAATATAAGAATTGAAAACCAAGAATTGAAAACTTTGAATGAGTAATTTGCCCAGCAACTACAATTAATAAATAAAAATTAAACCCAAAGATAATACATATATTTTGTATAAAACTTTTAAACAAGTTTATTTAAAATGTTATTTACTTTCTACATCGTTAAATATCAATAATAAATATCATCACTCAATCACATGGATTTATTACTGTAAGATTAATCTATTCTAATTAATGATGTTAACTTTAAGTCATGCATATACAATTTTATCGCTCATACAAGCCTTAAGTCAACAAAGTTTTCCCTTCAAGATCCCTTAAAAAAAAAAAAATATATATATATATATG